GGGTGAGGGGGAGCGGGCTGGGGTGCCATCGCCCCACAGCAAGGGAGCTGGATGGGGACTGTGCCTTCAGTTTGGGGTGAGCCCTGAATAGGCATTGGGGTGGCTGCTGTACCCCGGGTGTTTGTGCTTCCCCTCCAGCGCCACTGCTGCTCTCTGCCCTTTGGTAAAGCCGGGGCAGCGGGCTGTAGGAGAGGCGAATCAGGGCAGCCCCAGTGAGCCCCCGACATGCCCCCTCTCTGGGTGCTGTGGTTTTCAGCCCCAAAGCAGCCGCCAGCGAGCCCTTTGCTGCGGGCTGTGTCCTGGGAGGCCGGGACAGCCACAAGCCATGGGTGCCGAGGGCTGGGTGCTGCTCAGGGAGGTGAATCCCTGCGGTGCCGCGTCTCCCCCAGCCCCATGTTTCTGCGCTGGGCAGTGGGGTGTAGGAGGAGTACTCCTGGGTTCAGAAATCCTGCCGGGCTCCCTCCCGCAGGCGTGGGATGTTCCTCAGTGGGTTTGCGGGGACCCTGCGCAGAGCAGCCATGTCCCGAGAAAGCCTGGGGTGTAGGTAGCCCCATCTGCCCTGTGCTCTCCAGCATGGGAAGAGAGAATTGACTTGGCTCCCCTCCCCTCTCTGCTGGCAGAGGCACGAGGCTCCCTAGAAGATGGGCGACTGGGGTTTCCTGGAGAAACTGCTGGACCAAGTCCAGGAGCACTCGACTGTGATCGGGAAGATCTGGCTCACTGTGCTCTTCATCTTCCGCATCCTCATCCTGGGCTTGGCCGGGGAATCTGTGTGGGGGGACGAGCAGTCGGATTTCGTGTGCAACACCAAGCAGCCAGGCTGCACCAACGTCTGCTATGATAAAGCCTTCCCCATCTCTCATATCCGATACTGGGTGCTCCAGTTCCTCTTTGTCAGCACCCCAACCCTGATTTATCTCGGCCACGTTGTCTATCTCTCCCGGAAGGAAGAGAAGCTAAAGCAACAGGAGAGCGAGCTTCGGGCTATCCACAGCAAGGACCCAAAGATCGAGCAGGCCCTGGCAGCCGTGGAGAAGAAGATGTCCAAGATCTACGTGACGGAGGACGGGCGGCTCAAGATCCGAGGGGCGCTGATGTGGACGTACATCATCAGTGTGATTTGCAAGAGCATCTTTGAGGCCGGCTTCCTCGTTGGCCAGTGGTACCTGTACGGCTTCTCCATGGTGCCCCGCTACGTGTGCAAGAGGGACCCCTGCCCCCATCAGGTGGACTGCTTCATCTCCCGCCCCACTGAGAAGAGCATCTTCATCATCTTCATGCTGGTGATGGGCCTGATCTCCTTAATCCTGAACCTCCTGGAGCTTTTCCACCTTTGCTGCAAGAACCTGCTTAGCAACATCAAGAAGGCGTCGGTGCCGGCCGGCCCGAGCCGGGACGCCTTTGCCGATGACATGGTCTCGGGTCCCTACCCACCCAAGCACTACCCCTTCCTGCCCATGGCCGAGAGCCACACGCCGCCCTACCAGGCCTACAACAAGCTCTCCAGCGAGCAGAACTGGGCCAACTTCCACAACGAGGAGAACCTGGCGCTGGGCAGCGGCAGCAGGCCCCTGTCGGACCCCTACGCCCCCAACGCTGACAAAGCCCCAGCCCCAGAGGAGAAGCTGTGCAGCCGGCCCGGGCAAAGACCGTGCCGTCTGGGTGTGGGTGGGCCCCAGCCGGCCGGGGGGACCTTCCTCGGTCCCTCGTGCCTGCAAAGGTGCTGGCCGTGGGCAGGCAGCTGCCTCCTGCCTGGTGCTGTGCCGTACGGACAGGCCCCGCTCCGGAGGCTGTGCCCGCAGAGACCTGCCTGCCATGGGACGTGATGCTCGGGAGCGGG